CCCCCCCCCCCCCCCCCCCCCCCCTTCCAGCGAGCATGTAACCCCAACCCGATTCATTTTGTGAATCGCATTCATCGGAGTGGGAGGAAGTTCTCTTATGTTGGGCACGAAGAATCTCCCACATCAGCAGCAGAACGTAAAGGGGCAACCTGATTGGCCCCCGAGTCTGGGGAAAAGCACTTTACATAATACTAATTGCACATCCGCCGCAATTACCTTCCCGTACTAATTACAGAAAAGCTAATTGTGAAATTAGCATTTTTTTTTTTCCCAGTGTACAGTAGAGCGCCTGGGTTGAATGTGTGCTGTAGGGGTGTACAGAAAAAAAAACTAAACCCCAGTTCATAGATGCAGCCTTACCAAAAATGAACCATGATTTCATATATTCATAAAGCCATGTTTTTGGGGGGATTTTAAGTTTAAAAAGATGCAAGATTGTACACCACTTCTCGTCAACAACATGAACGGAGGCAGCAAATATCTTCCTTGTGACTCTACTCAGCCAAGGGGAAAAACAAGATTTGCTAATATTCTTCTGCGATACACACAGCATGTGTCATATTAGTGGCCTCTTCTTTTGTTTGAGCAGCGCTCTATTCCCAACCTAATGCTTGACATTCGGAACCCGTTCTTTTAGTCTCCGTCTCGCAAAATAAAAGATAAAAAAGAGGAGGAAGAGAAATGGTCTCATCCCTCCCTCTACTGCAGAGCTGCAGCTATGAAAAACAACCATAAGGAGGATAGATGGAGAAGGGAGGAGAGGAAGGCAGAGGAAGAAAAAGATGGAGTGGGGGCGGGTGGTAAAAAGGTAAGAGGAAGAGTGGGGTAGAATGTGGAAAATAAGTGAGAGAGGAGGGGGGCGGAGGGAAAAAAATAGAGAGGAAGGAGGTTCGAGACATTGGCTCTTTAGGCCAATGGCACATATAGGAGGGCTATGTTTACTAATGGACACCATCACTCATCCGCCCATGTTGCCCTGGCGATAGCGCAGCGTACTCGTAAAAAAATAAGAGGAACAAAGAGAACGGAGAGAATGGAAGACATCAGCAGGAGGCGGCAGATCTATGCCTCGGCTACAGACTGTGTTATCCACACAGAGCTTTCTTTGTTAGTGTGAGCCGTGCAGTCCAAGGCTAACATCAGACGCGTTTGCTTGTTTTTATACAGTATAAGCAATATTTTGAGGCAGGAAATTACCCCTTTCTGGGGGGGGGGGATTGCTTTGAGATGGAAATGTACCAAAAGGCTGCAGGTGCTGCACTGAACCTTTATTTTTTACAAAGAACAGCAGATACTGTAAATATAAAGATAGAATGTGCAAATAAGTGTTTTAAGCTAAACGGTGCGTCAGATGGTGCCAGTTTACAGAATGACTCATGCTGCGTCGCTTCCAGGAAACACTGCTGCAGCGCCATAAAGAACATTGCAGTGTGCAAAATAAATTGCTCACTCCTTTAAATTTGATCATAAATTTAGGGGTTTGTGACAAAAGTTGTTGAGCCAATTGCCTTATTCTGTCTTTAGGTTCCGGCACGTTAACGTTACTTTTTTTTTAAGCCTAGAGCGAATATCACAGCCCGTTCTTGTGAAATACTTCTATACCTCTGCTAATAATTAGTCAAACTAATTTATAAACATGTCAAAATCAGTTATCATCCCTCACAACACTAATGATCTCCCTCAGGCATGGTAGGGGAATAGATACGCTTTTGTTATTCTCTGAGAATTTACTTGTCCCAAACCTCCTTGTACCAAATGAATGCCCATGTGGTTTCAAAATGTTATGGTCAGTCTAACAACAAGAACAAGTTGCTATTTGTCGAGCTGGAGTCTGGTTTTATGATTTGTAATAACATTTACACTCTGCTTTGTGGAACCACTGCTGGGGAAATGAATAAATACGACTGAATATGACATAAATTTGACAATGTCTAATCATAATGCTTGACTGTGTGGTTGGGGGAAAAAAATATTGATGTAATCGTAAATGGTTTGATTCTCCAATTCCGAAGGACAGACTATGAATTATGCCCATATTCTCTTCTATTTTGTTCATACATAATGTTCAGTTTATCTGAGAAACTATTTCAAATAAACACATTTTTCAGTGATACAGTTCTGGGACTCCGCTGAGGCATCCTGCCATCTCAGTACACCTGAAGTATGCTATCAGATGAGGTAGACGAGCACTCTAACTGCACTCATGTAGCTTCAGAAACATGAGTCGGTAGGGAGGTGGAACGCAAGACGGTCCGCTAGAGAAATCAGGTCAGCCGCTGGATTACCGATTAATTTGTGGAAATCTCCTCAAACTGTGTGTGAACTCTGAGACGGTGTAGCTTTGCATACTGGGACGTACCATTAAAGAGAGTAACGGACATGAATCCAACGCATCTCTTTATGATCGTATCAAATAAACATCAGAGACGGACGAGACCTCCATGTGAACCCAAAGCGTATCGAGGACGGCCATTAAAAGAAACAAACATGAGCACTATCCTTTCTGAGAATCCGGTACATCAAAGTCTTTGCAAAGCATGCTGGGAAATCTGCTCGAATACTCATTGAATAACAAAGTGCCACAGAATCATAGATACTGAGCTAGCTAATGTAATCACAGGACACGGCTCAATAATGTGGTCCTATCAACATGTGAGCACACATTTCTGACAACGTAATACTACAGTATGTGCACTATTAGCACTGCGGTTTCCCAAACACTTCTTCCTAACATAGCACCTGCTCGTAGTCCTGTGAAAGCGCGTACACAAAGTTAAACTCATGGAATATCATTTTCACACAACACACAAAATAGGGCAACTCGTACTGTAACAACATCCAATATCTCGGAGCCGTTAAAGTATTGTTTCATTGTACCAAAAAGCACTGCACCTTGAGAAACTGCAATTTCCTTTGAGGGTACAAATAACCCGGCCCTTTAAAACTTCTCAATAACCGCACATGAAACCCTGGAGACACGTTTGAGCGACAGCAGCAGTAAAAGGGAAAGACTGTTAGCTTCTACTTTGCAGGCTCAGCTGCTTGTTCTTCTGGCTTTTCATTCCCCATCGTGACTCAGGCTATTGACAGGTCATGAAGGGAAAAACATTTACTTATTCTTACATGTGATATTTAATAACTCAATATTGGTCCTCATGTCTTCTGTCATTTAAGGATCTTTTTTGTTTTTTTAAAAAGGTTCAATTAATAGTGTGGAAGCACTCAAAATGTGCAATAAAATAAGTCGAAAGGACGTTGTTAACTGTTGGTCCTCTAGCCTGATATTCATTTGACTGGTCATGATGGCAAAAATACAAGATGTTAAAGAGTTATAATAATATGGAGAAAACGGTGGGCGTTTACGTAGTGCTATTTTGTGACTTTTGAAGACCTTTGTTATCCAAAACCGAAACTACGACATTTCAAACTGTAACGTAAGTGATCCCGAATGCTGTGATCGCAACGCAGCAACAGTCTACAAGTCAATTTCAATGGAGCTACAACCTCCACTCTAGAGCTGCTGTCAACTTTCTTCAGTGGCTCCAATGACGCGGTGAAGCGTCAACCAATTCTGTGTTTTTGTTTCAACCCCGTTCCGTACCATCTAAAACAAATGCTGTTAGAGAGTTCCCAGTGGTATTTAACAACATAACCACATCGACAAAGAGTTTCAAGGCGACCCGGAGACAACGGATACTTCCTGGACAATTTCTTCCCTTGCATAATCTCTGCTTTACTGCGTCACTTTTCTTAAGTCCACAAATAGACTCAAAATGTGCGTTAAAAGCAGTATCAACCTGCTACCCCAAAATACTAACAGTTCGGCGAGTTGGGGAGCCATAAAGCTTTTGCTGAGTTTTCCTGTTGGCAGATTAATGGTGCTTATTCACTAGAATTCAAGTATTAATCAACATGAAACTTCATAGGTTGCAGGCAGGACACAAATGCTAAATAAGTAGCCTTTAAGTCACTGGAACTTTCCTTCAACTTCAGCACCGAAAAGCCACCACATACACACACTAGAATTGCATAATAAAATTGATAACAACTGATTGATGGTTGTTACGCCCTGAAGATGAGCATTAATGGAAGCAAAGAATGACTCAGAAACATGGGGGGGGGGGGGGGAAGAGCCCGTGACGTCCAGCAAAGGTCAGCTGGCACAGCGGGAAGCTGATGGATGTATGCTCAGAGGTACCAGCAAAGTCAAATGACCTTCATTGCAATCAAAAGTTTAACTTGAGGGCCAGTTCGACACTAGACAGGCAATCGATTGCCAGCATTTCATGGCATCGGAGAAGAACATGAGACCGGAATATCAACATTCAACGTGCAGAATGTGTGTTAAAGAGAAGAGAAATTACCCTCATAAAGAGATTTTATGCTTTATGCTTTCCAACACACATATAGGTGATGACTCTAAATCCTTATGGACTTCAGTGCAAAAGAAAAAAATGATTGAGCCCATTTCCTATCCAACTTTCTGTGCATTCACATACGCAGGTCTGAGCGTCACTAAAATGCCGAGCCAGCTAGTGCTTGGAGCGGCAAGGGAATTTTCCTGTGAGTCATAAGCAACTACTCTCTGAAGGTTTGAGGAATGTAAAAGGAGCGCTGTGGGACTGCAATATGCTGTTGCTCAGCACTCCTTTCCTAGTCCATTTATTTCAATGGCACAGGCATCTGTATTTAACCCTTCCAGCTGTTTCTGATGTTCTACCATTTGTCATCCTGACTATCTGGCCGGAAGGAGCTGAGGGCAATTTACTTATGCTCAACGCAACGCTGCGCTGAAATAAAACGGAAGCTGCCCTGTGGTAGCCGCAACAATGACCTGTGATCTACAAACTGAGGCAATTCTGTGGATTGAGCAAATTGCTTTGAATGGACTCAAACCAAATCATGGCAGGTTAAAGGTGGCGAGACACTTACCGCTGTCCCCTGCTTCCAGCGCCTTTAACGTTTGCTCTTTGAGTCGGTCGGCCTCGTGCTTCTTCCTCCTGTGTTCCTCTAATTTGATCTGTAGGTCCTCTGCCACCTGCTGAAGCTCTCTGAGCTGGGCCTGAAGAGAGACAACAGAGAGACAAACAACATCAACATCACTTCCACGGTATTTACTTACAGTTCTAGCACAGCAGGTTGGTTTTCTGGTTTACAGTCAAGTCACTGTTGCAAGTAAGTGGCACCAACGCCTGCGTTGTAATTTAGTATATTGTAGAGCTACTGTTTCTCAGTTCGGTGCACCGGAGAACATTTTGGGTCATTTTTAGCTCTCGGCATGTCTGTCTGTCCAGACTGAAATATCTCACCATGAATTAAAACCTTTAACAACCTTGTTAATCTAACCAGCTTGATTTTCTACACAGTTGTGACTATATAATCACTGAGGGGAAATATAAGATTAACAATCAACAGAGAAACAACACAAGATGATAATTCAAGTGCTGACAACAGGATAGTTGACTTATAGTCCCAAAAGTTTTTATAGTTGTGCCCGAGTTGACACCAACAGGTTATTAGGATCCGTCTCTGTTCTTACCTCCTCCCCTTTCCTTATCTTTCTTTAGGTATCAGTATGTCTACCTCCAGACAACAACCAGCCCGTGTGTTTACTAAAAGCTGTACGACAGCGGTCAGGCCCGACAATGGACTATTTAAATCACTTGCGTCAGGGGGCGTTGTTGTCACACCAAATATGACAGCTTTTGACAACCAGGCATAACCTATCATTACTCTCAGTAATGGACCAATTAATATGAAAGAGCAGCAGCTCCGTCCGTGTGTGTGTGTGTGTGTGTGTGCGCGTGTGAATACAGCCTGCCGATCCCCCCTCAGAGACTCTCATAATGCAGTGATGGATTCTGCTTGGTTCGGACAGGGTTGACTACCTTACTAGGCCATGCTGCTCGCTTTGCCACCTTCAGTGTGCTGCAGTGATTCATGGGCTCCATTTTGAGCTAACAAAAACATACTTAAAATGAAACCCATCACATGTAAATTGTTCCTCTACGGTGTTAAAATACTTTACAAAACACAAACTCAGGTTTTTTCCATGAACTGCATTGGAGAATGGAAACTCTAGTAAGACGAATATTTGTTTAGTCACATTAATCTGAATATTTCACTTGGGATGAGTGAAAATGATTTTTTGTTTTAAAAGATCAATGAGTGTCAGCCGCTGTGTTAACTCTGCTGCTAGCTGTATTACAGTTCTTCCTCTAAAATCTGAACAAAAGTCAGAAAAGGCTACATTAGGGAGAGAAAAATACTTTTTCTTTTGTGCAATGTACAATCAATACATTTCACTCAATACATTTCACACCTCCTAAAAAGGAGATGTTATTGAATACCTATTAGTATTCGATTAACAGCAGCAGTTGGTTCTAGGGCCTGCACTGCTGACGTGCTACATTTAGCTCTTGTTGTTAAAAAAGTCTTAGAAATTGCATTAAAAAGTCTTCTAGCTTAACCCTTGAACCGCAGGAAGAGTTCACTTTTGAGTCGTTGTGTAAGGCTTCCGAGACGAGGACCCCCGAGGTGACCCTGCCATATCAACAAAGACGCACTGAGAGAAGAGGGTCACATTATGCTGCTGGGTGACACTGCAGCCTCGATCTGCCAATCAGCTGCCACAGAACAGAACATGGGACAAAAAAGGAGAGGATGAGCGCAGGATACACACTCAGAGACCTTCAGCTGGAAAATCTGACATGCGTGTGTGTGTGTGTGTGTGTGTGTGTGGGAGAGATGACAAGTGTCTTCATTCAAAATCTTTTGAGTTGGGCAAGTGCCATCTTTTTAACTGTATCTTACTTCACAAGCAATATATCTTTAAACAAGAGTGACGTTCTTGAAATGTATTTTTTTCCACACAAACGGTGCTGTGAAGTGCTTCGGAATGCCTTGAGATGAAGCAAGTTCTCACATAATCAATAGACAATATATAGCAGGAATGAGGACAGCCATATGAGAGTCAAAGAACTGTGAATTAGTTCCTTCAGACTATTACTTGAGCACTTAAAAAAAAAAGGAAAGATATCTTTATAAGTGCAACATACAGGAGGTGAGCTAGACTGACAATTTCTATATCTAAAAACATCTAAAAGAGATCAGCTGCCAGATTTACCCGTTTCATTTGCACTGAACTAATTTCTAATTTAGCCGAGTGCTTGTTCAACGAGCTAATGGAGAGCAGCAGAAACTGTGAAGTAGTTTCTTGAAGCTCTATTAAAAAAAAAAAAAAAGAAAAAAAAAAAAAAAAAGCAGCATGTTGATAAAGTGGCTTGATCACTCAGATACCTGTTTACTTGTGCTGATTTAACCCAAAACCATTTACTCCTTAACGTTTCAGAGGGATGCAAATGAATAGTTACAGCAGGTAAAAGTTTTTGGCAGGTGGAGAATATGATTTTTAAGGGTTATAAAGGACTAGAAACTAGAATTGTTTGGATAGGAGACGCGATACAGTTTGAATATAATGGTGTTGGAAAGTGCACAGCAGACGCCTTTAGCAGCAATGTGATGAACATGTATGGACGACCTCAACCTAATTGTGCAGGCTGTAGACGACACACTTTGCATCCTAGTGTGCAGGGAAATAGGCTACAGTGGTTTTGGTATTTTGTGTATGAAAACTATGTTTGCAACTGATCTAGGGATTAAGTTATATAGGCCGCCATAGACTATATATAGACCACTAGATGAACCGTGTGTATATTCTGTGCAGGTCAAGTGAAAAGCAGTGAGAAGTGAAAGTCACTTGAACAGGATAAAGCTTTTTTAGGAAAAACCCTGGTGACCATCCTTCTCTTACTACTACAAGCCATGCCGTAGCAGTTACTTCAGCAGATTTGGTTGTGTACCTGTTTCTCTCTCCAGAGCAGCACTCCCTCCTCAATCAGTTGCTGCTTGAGTTGCAAACCCTCGTCCAAAGTCCTCATCTGGCCCTCCACGTACGCTCTCTCTCTCTGTCCCAGATTCCTGGAGGAGGAGAGCGAGAGAGAGGATGCACGGTCTCATCATTACGGAGAAAACATCCTGCTATGGTCATTGAGATGGCACAATCCATTTTTTTTTTTTTTTTTTAAAAAGGGCCCAAGATGCAACAGGAATCCAAATGGGAAAATAGAAAAGTAAATAAGATGGGGGGGGGGGGGGGGGGGGGGGGCTGAAGCTCTGTGGCTGAACCAAATTGTTTTTGAAGAACAAACAAAATACGAGTGTGGACCTTGTGAAAACATAATGAGGTATACTCTGCTCGAGTGTGGTTTTGAATGAAATAACAGAGGGCCGTCGACAAAAGAAGTGTGTTACTGTATTAGAAGTTACATTTACACAGCAGGCAAGATTTCAGCATCATAGTACAGTCATCCTCTCAGAGAAGATGATAAATATGAGCCGGCAGTGGGCCCGCATTCTTATAGCTTTATTCATTCGCAGACCGACCATCTGTGCAGTGAGCAATTTATGTGTTATAGAAGCTGAATTATCTGCACGCAAAAACACCTCAGGACGGAGTTGTTGAGAGTACAATTTACAGTGTGAAAAGAGACAGGGAGTCGGATCCGTCTCCATCAAGGATCAAATCAATATTGTGATGCATATACATTATGAGGGCAGGGCTGAACTGCATCAAGACTTTAAACCATAGTGACACCATGCCCCCTGGTGGCACAGTGCATCACTGTCTATCACACTAATACTACGATAAATACCTTTATCTTAAAGACAGCTAGGATTCAACATCATCTGCGTTCTTTGATACATTTGCCCAAATAGAATGGGCTGATTGGATTTTTTTTTTGTTCTTTAGCAATGCGTGGGCCTCCATATTTTGAGTCAAACTCTGCATGTGTTGTTATATAAATATTGAATCTCAGTTTCGATTCAACTGACCAGCAAGTGTTCTGGCAGCGAGCGTGGCTGTTGTATTCATCTGAAGCATCGCAGCAATCTGGCACGAGACACAGGAGGGACCCATCCAACGCACATACAAGAGAATAGAAGAGCATTCAATATGTCAGCAAGCAGAGGAAAAAATAAAAAAGAACACAGTCAGCAACTATGAAAAGAACATTTTCAGCTACTTTTTAAGCTTAATATCACTCCTTGGCCCCCTAAAAAGTGAACAATTGCTTTCCAACATACAGCACATAATATAATAATGAACATTAAGTGATTTAAGAAAAAACGTTCAAAAAAAATGTATGGTGTAGTCAGAGAGCTGTGAGTCAGCTAGCTAGCCCGGCTTTGTCCAATCTGCCTATTAGCCTCAAAAGCTCACTCTTTAACATGGTAAACGTTATTTGTTTAATCTGTAAAAGAAAAAAAAATGAGGAGTAAAAACAAGAGCCAGGTTAGCTGTTTCCAGTATTTGTGCTAAGCTAACCGACTGATTGCTGTAGCCTTCTGTGTAGACATGAGTGGCAAAGAAACATCTCTTTAAAGCTTTAATCACTTCTTAGCCGCAATGAAAATGAGATCTTTGTGCCTGCATGATACATCACTCTGGTTCAGAGAGTCTCTCTTGAGATCAACCACTTAGAAAGATCAGCTGCATGGTGTTTTCATAAGTGCTCAGATCTGTCTTTTGCTCAGATGTTTCACCCCAGAGAGTGGGCAGAGTGGGATATTTCTCAATTATCCTGAACGCCATTGGTGACCGGCGGAACGAGGGCTTTACAGCACAGAAAGGGAAGCCGATGAAAATCTCTCGACAGCCAGCAGAAGCGGAAAAAAGCGATGTTGCGTTAGCTATTAAGCGACTCCACTCAAGGGAAGGCATGAGAAGACGGGTGGGAGACGAATAAAGAAGGGAGGAGCGATGGTTACATGCTGCTTAATGCAGCTGGTCACAGATAGGAGATGTCAATAGTGAAATGTATTGATTGTATCCAAAGTGGAGAGCTACGGGAGAACAAAGGTGGATGAGAAGAGGGGCTGAAAAACAAATTGGAAAGAATGGAGCAAACTAAGCATTGAGGAAAAGGATATGGTGTTTTACAGAGTGAGCACATTGGTGTGTGTGTGTGTGTGTGTGTTGGAGAGCCATGTTTTGTTTAGTGTGTCTTTAATCAGTTTGAACTACAGAAAGAGTGACAGTTTGTATGCCAACATGTCAACTTCTTGACATCATGTAAAATATGAATTTCTGTCTGTTTGCAAAACACACAAAAGGTGTCAAAGCAAACAGATCAACTTATTATCCAATAAAAAGGGAAATAAAAACTTAGTTTGAATAATACAAATAATAATCAAGGCTGTTAATCCATTGCTTCACTTCAGGTTCTGTAAAGCGTATTCATGTAACCTCTCAGCAGAGTATTACTTCATCCAATATCAAAAGACATACCACAGATGCCATCATTGACTCGTGATGACGGGATGTAGTGTGGGCGGAACCCCAGATTGGTGCAGTAGAATCGGCCTCGGGGACAGGCGGAGGTGCCTACATGGGGTCAGGAGCAGAGGTCAGCACTATGAAACAAACTAATCTAATCAAATCAAAGCTATTTATAGTACATGCATGTGGGCTGATAAGAGAAACACATGGTCCCTTTTCAACAGGCGTCTGTACAGATGATTCTGCCGTATTGTTTTTGATGTTTTAGGATTATTATTTCCACCGGTTTAAAATGAACTTGTGTTCAGTAATGGCAGCAGTGTGCAGTTTAAGAAACCCTTTTTATTGTCATATAAATGTGTATATACATACACAAAATTTGACTTCTGCATTTGACCCATCCCTGTATATAGGGAGCAGTGGGATGCCAATGACAGGTGCCCGGGGAGCCAGGGTTCAGTGTCTTGCTCAGGGACACTACGACACGTGACACGTCCCAGTCGAGGATCGAACCATTGACCCTGCGGTTACCTCTTAAGCCAGTGAGCCACGGTCGCCCCATAAAGCGGTAAGTGAATACCTATTAATACCAAACATGGAAATTGGATACAAAACTTGAGTTCTGGGAAATGATTACCTCTATAATTTTTCTGTTTACAGGGCACTGGACTGTATCAGCTGCCAATATAATAATTCATTCAATTCTTGCTTTTTCTGGCCTCGTCTGCAATGAGTAAAGAAGCTCATTAGGAGGCTTATATCTATGTTGCATACAATATTATGGTTTGGATTTACCCCAGCAGTATGGGACAGCAGAACAGCACAATGTGTACACTACAGACAGTGGACTTAAAATGATTTAAAGGAGCTGTATTTAACATTCAGAGCAAACAACCATTTTTTATGTACATATATGGTGGAGTAACGTCTACCTGAGCAGAGAATTAAGTCGCTCTCCCTCTGTGTGTGCTCTTCTCCTTGCTTTACTTTGCTTTTAGTGCACGTTAGTGCATGGGAGCGTGCCCCACTGGTTAGCTCACAGCCGCCGCATTGCATTGCACTCATACGAGGGTTAAAGTTGATATTGCCCTCCCAACAGACAGCGTTGTAATGGAAGCACAGCACCCACCCTCCGGTTCGACCTAAGGTAAACACTCTTAGCTCCGTCAGCACCTTTAGCTCTGATCCGCCGCCGCCACCTCGCCGTCTACATGTTGAGAGCCACTGTGAGGCAATCGAAATGCCCCAAATCTGAACGACCGACCGACCGACCGACCGAATACACAAAGTACAGAGAAGCTCTGATTACAACACACAGAGGGAGTTAGACTTCATTCTCTGCTCCATTATATCCTTTTACCAGTTGACATGTTACCTAAATAAAATTGACTCATGCCCTAGTCTCATGAGGGCGGAAAACAAATGTCTGTTTATAATATAGTCTGAATAGAATATGGTCCGCTTGAAAATGTAAAAGTGTGAGTTTATTTGATAGAAAGTGCAGTCCATCCCGAGATCAGTGAAACCAAAAGACAGACGGGGAACAGACGGTATCGCAAAGACACGGCACACAAAAGCAGACTGGATGTCTGTTGTTATGTATATTTAACTGAAACGCTTGCATTCTCAAAAGTATTGAGTTGAATTCCACACAACACATCTAAAAAGTCAAGTCAAATATTATTCATCCACAAAACAGAAATGAATTGTTAACAGTGCATAGGTCGCCGTGGTGAAACACTGTTTGCTAACCTTGGTAAAGAGAGACACACTCGCCCATACGTTCACTTTTTACCTGGTTCGTCAGAGCCGTCTTCACAGTCACAGTAGTCGTCGTTCACCTGCTCAAAGGGAATGATCTTGGAGCCGTCGATGCACAGAAAGGACTTCCTCTCCCTGTAGAACCGCTTGTCTGTTAGAGGATGAAAACATTACTGAAGGATGCATGTAGATGGCTTTCAGCTGCAGCTAGAAACGTAATCAAACAAAGGACAATACTTTGAATAACATTTTGCATCGACAGCATTTATTCCAGGATAAAAGCTGGATGCTTGAGTCTGTAAAGAAATGCTAGTGGAACTACTAAATAAAAAGATAGGTCTGGTTTTATGGATGCCACCCAGAACAAACTTTAAACGCTGTGTACTGGTGTTACAAGCTGTCTGCAGCAATGACAACGTCGTGGCAACTTGTTGTACGTGTTGAAGCTAAAGAGTTGTTAAAAGTCACAGCACGTTACACTATACAGTGCAATTGACAATGTGATAGCTAATTAGCCTTGAGCTAGCTTGAAGGGGGAGAGTGAACTTACAGGACGAAGATATTCCTCTTATTTTCCGCGAGTCTACGAAACCACACCAAAAGACAGCGGCGATAATAACGTGGAAACGCATGTCAGGTGACACACTTATAAACCTTCTCCCTCCTGCAGTACAACAACCCGCTTAACTGTGCTTCAAACTCATACATACATTTAAACTGATCGTGTCCTGACTTCCTGAAACATGCGGTCACGTGATGATCCTGAGCCTTCCTATTGGTTTTTATCCTAGCCATGTGCGACCCTAGCCATATATTGACCAATTATGGGTGAGAATGGTTTTCTCCCTCAAAAATACATTTGTTCATGTTAATAATTAGACTATCGACGTTTTTTTAAATGAAAAGACGGGCACTGTTCAAGCCTGGTTGGTTAATTAACTTTAATTGTAACGAACACAATGGTCAGGATCTCCATTTAATACTTCTAGGCAACTTTTACTCATAGTAAACATGTCGACTGGTACTAGAAGGACAAGCAGGTGTTATAATTAACACTAACGATAGCACTATGCTATTTAAGTGTCCCGGTGATCTACAGCGATGACAACCTCATAGGAACTTACAAAATGTTGTATTTGTTGAAGCTGAAGAGCTGTTAACAAATCACGCTACACCGTGAAGTTTAATTTACAAATAATGTGATAGCTACTTAGCCTTAAGCTAGCTTGAAGGGGACAGTGAACGTACAGGAAGAAGATATTCCTCTTACTTTCCGCGAGTCTACAAAACCACACCACAAGACAGCAGCGATAATGACGTGGGAACGCATGTCAGACGGCACAGAATGTAAAGAAGCTACATTCTGATACAATGTAGCTTCTTTACATTCTAATAGAATGTAAAGAAGCTATATTCTGATACAATGTAACTTCTTTACATTCTAATAGAATGTAAAGAAGTTACATTGTTGCCTTTTCTTTTCTTTTCTTCCCACAAGAACGTAATTTTGTCAGGTTGATAAAAAAGTCACTTTACTTCCTGACAGTTATTTTAGCTTGTTGTAGCATTAGCATGTTTGGTCTCGTAGTGTCTCTTTACATTATATTCCTTAAACAAGGCAACAGTCTCATGACTAATTAGGCAGACACAGTTGTTTCGGTTTTCGGTGAAAAAAATATTGCGATCTCCACCTCTCCTGGAAGCGGCGGCCCTCGTTATCGACTTTCCTTTTTTTACCTGCCTTAGCCATGACAGTTCAAGGGTCAGAGCAATTTCAAACAGCCAGACAGTTACAGAGTGGTGCTGCCACCATGAGGTAAAAAGAGGAATTGCATGTTGAATTTGTATGATTTATTCATTCCGTTTTGAATGTGCTGGCGGGCCATAAATAATGCATTTTAAGACAGAAGGTGCGGGACATATAAAATCTGCCCGCGGGCCGGAATTTGGACATGCCTGATATAACGTTACGTCCAACATTTAGACTGGCCATGTCCGTACTTCCTGAAAAATGCGGTCTCGTGACTGTTCCGAGCCTTTCTATTGGTTTTCTGTCCATGCCACGTGTGATTCTGTTGACCAATCATGAGTAAGAATGGCTTTCTGCCTCAAAAATGCATTTGTTCCCATTCTTATTCTTATCTTCATGTTATACTTTATGAAAGTTTTTTATATATATAAAGACGAGCATTTTACGAGCTTTGTAGGCCAGATTAATTTATTTGTAATGAACACCTTTCACGTTTTCTAGTTTGTAAGAAGTGCATTTTGGGTAGCGTGATAAATATTGTGACCAAATGCACTTCTACCCAGAGCAAGCACAGCAGGTAGTCCGGATATTCCATCTAATACATCCAGGAGACTTTTTCTCAAGCAAACATTTTGACTGGTCATAGAAGTGTTATTAATAACACTAACGATGGCTCCCAACTCACATCTGGTATAGGCTGATTAACTTAAGCAGATCATATACTGCGACTGATGCAATTTTGTATTGCAAAGCTTAAACATTCTGAAGTTTAACTCATTCATTAAATGCAATACTCAACTAATTTACTAAAATGTAAGATTGTAAGTCTGAATTTTGATTCTAATTTGTAGCATGCGTCACTTTAACATAATGAAAATAGGAAGATGGGTGATTTTTTTTATCTCACATGATAGATAGATAGATGCCATATTGATGTTACTAGCACAGAATCACGAACACACATAAAACAAGACCACCTTTTGGTGTTTTTATTAATAATAAACAATATTTACAACATTTACACTATAACAAACAAGTCTGGAAAGTAATGCAGTGATTTCAATCAGCACTTTAAGGTTTGAGGCATTTGAAAGGGGATTTAGAGGTAAATCTGAAAGCCAAGTCGAAATAAGATTACTGATTTATTTTCTTTAAATTCTCATTTGTCATTTTTCACTGCTAGGTCTTGTGTAAAGACCTGCACTACTGCACAGTGACTCCTTGCTCTGAAGGTAAGAGAGGTCTCTGATCATGCCGGGGAAGGAATAGGAGTCGAAGGGTGGACGTAGTGGAAACACCGGCATCAGTCCAGATGTCACGTATGGTGACATAAAACCTGCCACACCACCGTTCGCAGAGGAATAGGCCAGCCTCAAGGGGCTGACCCCAAGGCGGGGGCTAAGCCCGTACAGACTGTCTCCCCCGGCGGCCGGCGGTGGCATGTGGAGCGGAGAGAAGGCAGACTTGCTCCCCAGGCCACCGAGCGCTCCGGGCAGGCCGACAGAATGCCTGAGTGCATTCGGGTGATTAGACGGAGACACGCTGTCGGAGTCAATTTTGTTCTCTCTGGAGCTCAGCACCAGTTCAATGGATCTGACAATGTCGCCTTTGCACGTTCTCACCATAGACTCCAGGGTGTCCCGTTTCTGATGGGGGAAGATCTTGGCCATTATGTCAGTGGGGTCCCGGTTCGGGCTCCGGTAGTCCTTGGGTTTCTCCGACTCGCTGCCTGACTCCGGATCCGAGGAGGAAAGCGACCTCTCCGGGCTCTCTATGTGGTCCGAGCCCTGATCGAACACCGGGGACGGACTTGCCCTGTCTTCACTGAATGAGGTGGTGTTGTCCCGGTTTGGAGACAGATCTTTCTTGTCTATTGGAGAGGGCAGGTGCGCGGGGTGGTGTGCAAAGAGGGGTCGGCCCAGGAATCCGTTATAAAAGCTGTACTTGCTCAGTTTGTCATCTGAAATGCAGACCAAAAAAAAAACACGTTTGAAGCAGGATGTGCAAGGTTCAGTGTAAGTAAAATGCTTGAAACAATGCCGTATTTTAAAAGTAAATTTGCCCTCATAAACTGTCGTACTTTGGGATTAGGCTACTTGAAGGAAACACAAACAAACTAACATCTAACTGTGAATTACATTTTGGGACGGTTTTCTATTTATACAGAAAAGAGTTAAAACAATCTCCAAAGTAATAATTTGTATTTATAATTTACCATCTTTTTGGTTCTCTGCTCCAAAAACATCAAAACTGGGAGCTGTCGGGGTGTTTCCGGTAGCTGCTGGCACCCCAGGGCCTACGGGTGACGCCTGAAGGATCCCTGTTTCCCCGATCATCCCCGAGCCGTGGTACACGAGCCGAAGCTCGCGGGCCTCGCTCTCCTCCTGAGCCTGCTGCCTCCTCAGCGCCACCTGCGCGGCCATCACCCGCTGCCTCTCCGCAATCAGGGTGCACTTTGCGCACACGCAGTCTCTCCAGCGGCAGAAGCGCTTGTGGCCCTTCAGCGCGGACACCACGCCGTGGTTCCTGCACCGGGCGCACTTCGGGGTGCGCGGGTATCCCCTCTCCAGAGCGGGATTGCACGCTCGGAGGAAGAGAGGTGGCGGACGCAGGAGGGAAGCAGGCACGTGCAAGCCCCCGAGAGGACTGGCGGAGTGGCCGGTCAGTCCGAGCGGCGTGATCCTGCTTTCCATCGCCCGAGAGGTTGCAAACACAAAAGTCTTAAAAGTCCAATACAAGCGTACTCAACCACTAGCGATGCGGCCTTCTCTGAGTGACTGGTGCGTCTCTCTACTGCCACTAGCACCCTGAAACAACACGCCTTAAGTGTCCTCTCTCCAGGTGGTTTGACATGTAACACAACACCCTCGTCACACCCCTTTCCGCTCCAGCCTCTTAACAGCCCACCCCGTCATATTTATTTGCATCCCGGATGAAAAGTGGACTAATCTGATGCAACTGAGCCCACATGCAGGCCAATCACGACGAGACTTTGTGCGATCTGTAATTTGCACTTTTAAAAATTGTGATCTGCAGGACATTATATTGATATTTGTATTGAAGTTTCCGTTAGTTTAAGAGTCAATTATGAGCACAGACAGTAAAAAAAAAAAAAAAAGGTGTTACTTTGTGATTTGGGTGGGTAAACAGAAAGATAAATATGTTGCCTCAGGTCAGCTGGATACAATTAGCCACTTTGGTCACCCTGCTGAGCAATGAATATTCACTGTTAGGGTGTTTTTAACACAACAATGGTCCTAATGGACACAAAGGCAACAGGCAATTATCTACCTGGTTATTCTGTTCAACGAATTACCCTGACAAAAGACCCATCTGTCAACAAACACCCGGCAAGATCGGTGGATCACTAATCACACCTTGTCACATGTTGCATTCATATCTCTCCATTCAAACAGGATCCAGTTGCACGCAGCAGATTGCCTTACCGTTAGTGCACGGAACACAACTTGAGCGTAATGACACAAAACACAGTGGCAGTCACCAAGGGAAACACTGTCAGTCGCGCATTTGCTCGCATGCACTCTGTCTTCCTCAACTCTTTTATTCTTCTCTTTCCTATTCCCTGCAAATGTGTGCAGCTCGACTGAGACGCCACACCAAAATGGGAACTAACATGTTAATAATGGGAGTATCTCTTAGCTAGACGTCTCCTTATCGTCCAGATGTAAGAGTGAGACATCAGTGGCTCCTCTTGGTCTCCCCTGTAGTTCTGACTCCACTAGACTCCCTCTGAATAATGGATGCGGGTTAAAGAGGCGCTGGATGGAAGCACTCAACCCCCTTGTGGCGTTTTACCGAGATAATGATTCCCTGAAGGGCATCTCTAAGGAAGGTCTGCTGCAGCAGAGGCCAGGAAAATTGCTTACAGTATAATACACAATGATTTGATGCAGGAGCTATTATTAGCCATTAATAATACTGCTTGTCACACACACACACACAGGCTGGTAAGTGTTTCAACTTGATAAAAAGACGTTTGCTGATTTTGAGAGCAAAACGTCAGTGACAGATAGTCTTTTTTTTTTTCTTCCTCCTCACATCCATCTGTCCTCAGGTGACGGGTCTTATCAGCAGCATACCTTTCCAGCTGCCCCATTACAACCATGCATGTGTGCATATGTAAAGAGCAAACACATATTGTGCAAAAAAAACAAAAAAAACGGGCATTTGTCGTAACAAAAGCATCCAGATAATAAAGAGGGTTTGAGAAGCGAGTCTGCTATTTGCAGAAAGATGTCCCGCAAGTTAAAGGGTCCGGATGGATAGGGGTCGGTACAGACTCACTACAGCTGTGCAGGACACGAAGATGATTTGAAATGCATCCATCAACACAGAATGCCTGAAAACTTAAATAAAGGCCAGTGATGCAGATGCTGTGTGGACGCACATGCAGCTTTTTTTTTTTTATCATTTCATCCACTGTGAAGTTGAACTTGAGGTTTGGATTTGTGGCTGGCAAGTTTATCCAGGCCCGTTAAGCTGCTCTCACCTGGCTTTTCATGCACACCACTTAGGCTGTTTACGTGGACCAGGTCCAGCTTTTTATTGCAGGAAGGGTGGCTGGAAGCAGCGTGCCGTTAACAAGCCCATGTGAGTGTGTATTGAGCTTTTGAAAAAAGGCTCTGTTTCAGTCTTATTTATAATTACCCTGAGGAGGAAAATGGGACAAAAACAGCGGTTTCGGAAAAGCCTCTATAAATTGGATTACGGATAAAAGCTGTAGTGTTATATTTACTCATTTACCGCCTCTTCTGTTTGTCTCTGGATCATAGGATTACTACAAGGCTGAGCCAGGATCGTTGTTTAAAGTGCCTTCAAACCAGATCAGTTTCACCTCGAGACAAGGTCATTTCTACAATTAATCTGTGTCATTCTACCCTTTCATCATAATCTAATAAACAGAACAACTATACACTGCAGTTATCTCTGCTGTATAGAAAAGCTTACGTCCAGTTCCACGGTTTGTACGACGTTCTAGTCCCAATTTTTCCAACCTCACTCCCTACACAGAACGAAGGGATTAGAAGGGATAGGTGCAGTTAGAGTAGAAATGGCCAGACAGTGTCCTAATTGTGTTCTTAACAGATCTGCTCATGTCAGATACGGTGTTTCATCACAGCAACGTGCCTCCAAGGACAGGGCTTTATCAGTGCAGCTTCTTATCTGAAGCAAGGTGGCTGCTAATCTACTCACACATCTCACAAAACCTGATTATGTCTCCCACTGTCAGAGAGATGGAGATGAAGAGGGAGGGAGGTGGAGAGGTAAGGAGGTATGGCAGAGGAGCAGAAGCCCATCATTAAACAGTAAATCATTGCATCTGGACGTATATCTTTTATAGTGTCCTTTAAAGACATGCACATTCAGATTTCATGTCACGTTCATAATCCAAATAGTTTTGTATGTGAGGTCATTGCCCTGCATCTGCAAGTCCTCTGATGCACAAAGGGTGAACATCAGATCGCATTTTGTTGCCAACTCTGAATGACAGAAAGAAGAAATCTTCATGTGAACCGACTTTGACATGGAAACAGTTCAGCGCCTTGAGTTCCAAGACGGCGGCATTGTTGCAGAAAATACAGCACTCAAGTTACAACAAATTCCCCCTCTCTTTCACCGTGTGCAGGGTCTTGACCCTTGTGTGTTTACTTTCTCACCCGTCACTTCACACCCTTGTCATTTAAGTGCCACACAGTAGCCTCCACTCTGATGGGTGAATGGCTGCCAATGATGGCCATCGGTTTGGTCAGTGATCAGCAGATTCAATCACTTGAATTTCCCTTTAGAGCAAGTCTTTGTCATTGACACTTTGTTGTATTAAAACTCTGTGGAGAAAACGAAACAACACAGAAGCTGCAACTTGTCTTTTGTTTTAAAAGATGCTGAAATGCCTCGAAGAACTGAGTGGAAGTATGGTTGCGTCGGGGGAAATTTGCCTAAACAGTGTGTGAGATTTTTTAGGATTTTCCGAAACCTTAGTATCAAACACCGGGAAATATTCCATAAATATCTCACAATGACACACAGTGACGACACTCACAAATCATCGTTTGGTCACAATGATGTTTATACAAAAATAGAGATTAGAGCAGCTTTAATTAAACTTTTTAATACACGGCTTATACTTGGAATGGAGTATCTTCTAATTGAGGTTTTGACTTTTCATTTCTCTGTTCTTCTTTTAGATCAAAAAAAATATTCTCTAAAGATAACGGACATATTATTATTATTACAACCCATGCAGAGAAGAAGGGAAGCATCCATACTGCACTCATACACACACCTGTGCATTTGAATGCATGGTACAATAGAGTTTCCTCTTATTCCTTGCCTATCTGTCTCCTGCCATCTCCTTCTCTCCTATTCAATATTCCTGCATTTGCTCTCTTTCTCCTCCCCTCCCACCTTTATTGGTGGTCTGTGTCTGGTAGGTATCCATCAGGGCCCCTCACTTAGCCCGGCAATGCCTCAGTGGCGGGGAACAATGGTGAGCCCAAAGACTGCCAAGTTTGCTCATGAGCATGGATGTGTATGTGTGGGTGTGGGTGGGATCTGAGTGCACCCATGTGTACCGGTTCTAATCATGCATATTACATCTGCATCAACATGGTGCATCTATAAGGAGATGCAGGTTCACTTTTAGGTGCTTTAAGTGGTAATTACGTGTGTGTGTGTGTGTGTGTGTCTGTGTGTGTGTGTGTGTGTAAGGGAGGTTGGCGGTGCGTCGGAAGGGAACATTAGTTCCTTGAAAGGTTCTGGTCAGGTGCCAATGAATACAACCTTCACTGTCTAAACAGGTTGAGATTTAACCCCGAGAGTTCCTCGTTCTGCGCTTACTCTGGCAACACTCTCTATTTGTTTCCTGTCAGAGACGCGTCGTTATTTAATGACACACTTGCAAGGAGATCTTCGCAGCTTAACAATGCATAACTGAGTGGCAGATGAGCACAACCCTGTGTGAAGGATTGAAAGAATCAAGTTTCTAAGGGTGTGGGGTTTTTTTTTTCATGAAAATGTGCCACTTGACAGACGTTGACAAGGAAATGGATGTGTTAATGAGGGACACAATGTGGGAAAGAACTCTCTGTTGGTACTTTGCAAATATGAATATATGCATTTACACCGGGAGTGTTTGTGTGATTATTTTGTACATTGACGTAGGTTTAAACAATAGGTATTAATTATTTTAGATGAAATGCAATACTTTGGCTTGTCACTGGACTGAAAAAAAACAAGAAGCCCCCCAATGAATACTGGAGAATCTGGCTCCCCTCATTCTCATATATAAATAAGCAAACAATTGGACCTCCAAAGCGTTGTTTACAGGGTCTCGAGTGAAGGGGCATGTCGACATCTTATTGGCGAAGGATTCTGGTTAAGTTTGCTGAAAAGATTTCCTCCAGCTCTGAGGTTCTTCAGGTGTCTTAAAGAGCAGACAAAGAGAATGTTAGCTCCTTACAAAATGTGAGATTGGCAGCAAAAGATAAATTCAACAATATTTATGTTATCTACACCTCATACAGTTGTTATGGCAAACATATTAGTGTATCACACATCCAGCTGATGCAGAGTAACATTACAATGCTTTACCTGCAACCTTAAAATGTACAAACGTGTTATTAAAGTGTTTCACTTTTGCAATACCAGGTCACAGTGAAACAATCTTTAACATGTCCAGATTGCAACAAGTGTGTAAAAAGGTCAGGAGACCATTGAGAAGAAAAACGGCAAACAAGGAAAGGCACAGGTGAAGCAATAAGAAGGAGGTGAGTAGCGT